AGGGGATGAACGTTTGTGTGAGGCTTTGTCAGTTTTACACCGATCGGGTTGAAATTCGGCGTGCAGATGGATATTATGACGTAAACGTCCCTTTAGAAAGGTTTTTGAACATTCTCACCCCAAAGTATGATACTTTGCCAGTTTTAAATTGATCGGGCTGAGACTTTGCATGCATAAAGTTACTATGACATAGGTATCTCTTTAGAAAGGATTTTGATAAATTCCACCCCTAAGGGGATAAAATAGGGAATGAGAGTTTGTATAAATCTTCTTAGCCGTTGAATTTAGAATCATTGAATCTTTTTGAATTACATTCGGTAAAACGATGATTTGGGACCTGGGTAACGTATGATAGTTTTTTCACAGATGTCTCACGAGAACGGGAACTATGCGTCAATGCCCCAGGACTCTCTAACTCTTAACCACTGAACTTATTCTAGAGAGATTCGGTACAACAATAGTCGATAGAATAGTTTTTATTACTCAAACCTTACGTGATCGGACACTGTACTGGTAAGATCCCTGCGGGATTATTTATTTATTGAAACTACGATAAATCATTTCAAAATAGGTAAATCTTACTTGGGCACTGAATTGATTCTGGTTAATTCTGTCAGAAGTCATTAATTTACGCGAACGAAGTCGCGGGCAACAGCTATCTACACATATAATAAATCGTAGAAAAGTCAAAACTGTACATTGAATATTTTTTAAAAGAATATTTGAAGCGTGATCTCTAATCGATACCGAAGCCAATAATGTGGTTTTTAGAATTTTTGTCTGTTTGTCTGTATGTATGGCCGTGATGATCTCAAAAAGTGCTGCACTACTATTTCAAATTTTGCATGAATATTACTAACAAGTCTGGTAAACATATAGGCTACATATTATCACGCTATAATCTACGGGACTGAATCAATTCTGACGACATCCATTACCGTAGAATATCCCTTGATAAAAACTAATTCAAAAGCCTAAATTCTGCCAGAAGTCATTATTCTACGCGGACGAAGTCGCGGGCAACAGCTAGTTTTAAGTATAATTTCATTATACTTATAATTACTGTTGAGATATTTAAGTAAAGATTTTCTATTCATAGCTTTGATCTAGCTGTTTCAAAAGATACAGCAAATATTCAGCCTGCTTCTAAAAAAGTTGGGAGTGATCACAAAATCGGGAACCCTGCAACTATAACAAACGTGCAAACTATAAAAAATCGAGCGGCCAGCTCTACGGCAATGCCTTTCACCGGGCGGCCATCGTGAAAAGTGACAGTGAGTGGTGACGCGGCGGTGACGACACGACGACGCGACGTGATTACTAACCTGGCAGGTGTAAATGAGACCTGGCCATCTGGATATCTTGGAGACATTCATCTCACGCCAAGCTTTGATTGTGTAATAGATGTTCAGTAAGTATTTGTTTAGTAGGTACGCCCACATTTTGCTAAGTAGTTCCTTGGTACATAAAACCAATACTCTTCATCTTACAGGACCAGGACCCGATTTTGAAACCATGATTCATGTCGAACGTCTGCATTTAAGTACCTAGATCTCTTACACAATATAAAGAAAATTACTGAAGAAATATATATTCAAATTAGGTTTAGAACATAAGCTAGGTATGATGATATGAATATCAAAATAAAAGGAAATAATGGAAACCACGTAGTATTCAAACAAAATTGCGCAATTCGTTGTATACGCGCGCCATCTAGCGTGAGTCATAAGCGCATGCAAACTGCACTCTACATCTCTATACAATTTTTTTTGCAAAAAGTGCAACTGACAGTGACGTAACATAAAAATCTTTTTGTTTCCAACTTTCTTTTGTTTTTGAACTCCAGTAAATATTCGAATGACATTGTAAATACCCCAAACGGTAATATTTGGTTCACAAACACAGCTAATTGACTAGTTATGTATGTTTTTTTTTCTAACTCAAATAATTATCTATTCCATACACCTTTAACCAGCTATACAGATGAACATTTAATATAGGCGGTGTAGGCACAAATAAATATCCATAGTAAAAGCCCGAACCTCTTCAAAGACGATACATATAAACCGGTCAACTAATCTATCAGAAATTGCAAAGAAATACTACTTAATGCCATTCAATTACTTTTTGCCATCGATAATGTTTCCTTGAAACCTCAAAAACTCCAACAAAAGACTCTTTGTAACATCGAATCACGTCAAAAAAGTATTTCTTGAAAAAAGTTCTCATAATAAAGATTTAGGTTTTTTCGGCGCACGATTCAGGTCATAATAGTTAGGTTTTAACTTTGTGATGGGAACAAGGTGAAAATTTCACTCAAACTTCATTCTTTTTGTTCCTCTCAATGCCGTATAAGCTACTAAAATGTGAGACAATGGCGAAACAGCGTTGTGTCTATGTTAATTGCTGACAGTAGGTATAAGTTTTAACAATCGCATTGTAATGAGTATAAGTTATCCTAGAGTAACCTTCTAAGTTTCATAAACAATTGTTGTTATCTAACCATCGAGGTCTGAAATACATTGACCATAGACGAAGCGTAAAAAGGTTAAAAACCAAACGTAACTATGACTACAGAATCTATATTCAAATTAACTTTCTCCATCAACTATTGTAAGTGCAACTTAATAAGATAAATAATTCAATATTAATTTGATCTGCATTAAATAATATTTTCAATAATTAGATTTAAATATAAATTATTTTTATAATTAATGTCCCGCCGTCAGATGTTATCTAACGAATGACCATCGAATTATTAATTGGAGAATTAATTACAAAATAAAATATGTTTACGCCTTGTTAATCTGCTAATATTATCGTGTTTTTTTAAACAATGCGGTATCAGTCTGTAAATATAAGTGACGTTATATATTTTTTAATAATCTTGTTGTCTGGGTAACATGTAGGTAATGTAAGTTGCATGTAAATTAAAATATTGCCCAAATAGTGCGCGTAGTACGTTGGGCGCAGGCGCAGGCGTGAGGCACACGTTCGTATCGCTCGGTGCGCTCGCGCTCTACGTGTCGACCTCCCTTGGCGGCCACAACGTAATGCTTTTATGTATGTATTTATTTAATTTATTCTCCAGCGTATATGTGTGCGTATGTACTCACATTTGTATAATTTAATATAAGACCGTTCTTAATAAATATACTCAACATGCTTCGTTTTTTATTTAAATCATGTCCAAACTTGGCTATAGGCACACTTAACCATGGTTTAGTTTTAGAAAATAAATGTAAACCAAATTAAACTAGTAACTGCAATCGTTGTGTGCGTTGTAATTGTTTACGCTAAAATACCTAATTACAGAGGTACAGTAAGAAGGCCACGATTTGTTTCATTGTTCTATACAACCTATACATGGATAGGTACATAGCAAATAGATAACGAATAACATTGGTTTGTTCTGTGTGAAAAAGAGCCTCTAGACAAGGTCGATGCTAGGATGCACTATGGTAGCTGGTAATCACCACTAATTCGTTGTATTTTTCATATATTTCATAACACCTGACATTACAATATATTTATATTCGTTAAATATAAAAGACAAACGTAGGAACCTAACTTGAAGGCTACACGTCCACAAATCTCAATAGTATTCCAAGTGCATTATAAGTTAGCCTGTAATTTGACTAGCCACAAATAATTTGCACGTTTTGCTACAGTAAATTATAAAAATACAATTATTGTCATTATATTGCTACTTTATAAGTCTTTGCCATTACAAACACAAATGATAAAAGCTCGGCTCTAATTTAGCATTAAGAAACGAAGGTCGTCACACATCCATATTTATTTATTAGGTAACTAGGTACGTGGGCCGCACCAGACCTCACGTAACACGCCCATCGCACGGTTTTCGCGACCCAAAAAAAAGTTGCAAACTTCAAAGTTTGACAGCGCGCGAAAATGCAAACTAATGCACAATATGGCGTCGATGAGCAGGCGATGTTGCGCAAATGTGCGAGTGTAAAGAGTTTTGCTCGGTGTATTATTTATTGATTGTTGAAAAACAATGGCGGGCGCTTGCTGGCAGTGAGTCAGTAGGTCAAGGGTGCGCTGGCCTAGTTACGCAGTGCCGCGCGCCGAAATTCGCGGGCTTACCAGTTGCTAACCTCACTCGGTAGGGAGGGGCTAACTTGTGCCTAACGTGGTTAGTATGCGCTCACTTCTATTTGAGTACATATTTCATAAAAGCCATGATCAGCGTTGTTCATTTGAGTGATAGATTTAATGTTACCTAACTAACACGGCTTTGTGTAATTTCTCATTCCGTTTGGTTTCAATAGGTTTAGTAAAGTTCAGAAAGGCAGTCTGAACTTTAATATTCCTGTATTGATATTTAACACCGTCGCTAATGAATGATTACCTAACGTATAAATGTAACACATTGAAAATAATTATCAGATTCTGTTCTTGACGATATTATAATTAATTAATGTTTTGGTCAGATTACTTCCTGTAGCATAAACTTTATCAATGATATCTATAGGTATCAACAAGTATGTGCGCGTTATCAAGACAAGACAGATTTAATGACTGGCATCATTATGGACGACTCTTTCGACCTTCATATTAAGTTGATTACATATTTTATTTATATTGTAGTATTTGGGCCGAGCTACATCACTAGCAGGCCGGATCTGGAGCACGCGACACGCCAACCGCTTCTCCTTACATAAAACCAAGTTTAAGGTCGCCTAGATGTTGCCTGTTTGGACAAGTCAAGTGCTCTGAATGCCAGTCACCCACATCACTAGTTATGACAACATACCACCCGCGGCTACGCCACTAGATCGAACTTGTACATTCCAAATTAAGCGCTAGTAGCTACGATCACAATTTGTGGTTTATTGATAAATTAATTTCACGCTATACATCCTTGACTGCCGAGGTCGTGAAAGTAAATTATGAATGAAGTAATATACTCTGATGATTACCAGAAATTATAACACACATTTAAATATTACTTCCATAACATGCTGTTTCAGCGCCATCTACCGGTGAGTAGAATAACTTTCGCTAAGAACATTTCCCTAGCTACAAAGAATTGATTAAACACTATTGCTGTAGTTACTGCCTTGCAAAAAGATATCAATATTATAAAATACAGAGTTTTCAGGTATTTTAAACATGGATGACCCAGAGAAAAGAATACCAGTGCTGTGTTTAGGACCAAAAGGTTCAGGAAAAACCACATTACTGAAGAAACTGCAAAACGCTGAAGGGATAGATAACACGTACAGCCCCGTACCAACGGTAGGAACCAATATTTACGATGTATATTACATTAACAAACACGGGAAGAAACAAATGCTTTCCATTAGAGAAGTGGGCGGTGAGATGGCGCCACTGTGGCACAATTACTTGGACGGAGTCGAAAAGGTAAGTTACGTTTACCATTGATTTTACTTCTTGTAAGTTAAATGTGTATTTGTTAAATAATGTGTTATTTGCAGATAATTTATGTAGTCGACACATCCAATCTATGTCAAATATCAGCGGCTGCTGTACTACTTTATACGTTGTTAGCTGAACCAAGACTTAAAAGCGCTAAAGTAAGTAGCAGACAATTTTATTTTTTCTACTATTTAAGGAAATCTAAAGTTAGTTATAAATCTTATTTCAGTAGGTATAATACTATTGCAGGTTGGTACAATACCTAACTTTATTTATCGCAAAATATTTTTGTTCATAGTACCGACTCTACATGATTGAACCCTTTATTGCCTTTTGTCCTGCCACCAGAAATACACACTTTCCACTTAAAAAATCAAGAAATGTTCTCCCCAAAACAATACGTCCTTTGTTCTTCGTCATTCTACTGGTTTTGATTTTGTTTTGTTCCCAGTTCATCCTAGTCTTGAGCAAAATGGATGCAGCTTACAGGCAGATGCGCAATGAAGCGCTGCTAATGCTCCAATACGCCAGGCTTAGCACAGAGCTATCTAACGCACCCATACTGCTCGAGGCAGCACCCCTCACGGGCGAGGGCATGGACCAACTGAAGGCTGTCCTCTGCGACATCAAGATTGTGAATACTTTTTAATTTAAAATGTAAATAAAAACACGAAATAAAGATTGTTATTTTATTAACTGTTCACTCTATAACATTTAATAAAGTGGCTGGTACGGTCCCATACAGTAGGAAGTACAGTACAGTACCTCGCGTGTCGCCCACGTTCAGAATACCCGACTGACCCGCGTGAGGTACTGATAGTGACGTACGTATCATATTGTTATGGTTTCAAATGATCCCTAACCTTTCTGAAACCCTGATCCATTTAATTGCAGCATCATTTTGGGAATTAGGGCTCCCTGAACATCATTTTTCTCAGACAAAATGTAGGTAATCTTCCTTATAACTTTCTAAACGTTTGACTTAAAAGTTGTGAAACGGAACGTAGATGCCTTTTGACAGTGACGTTTATTTATTTACTTTCAGGGGTCCGGGCTATAGCTGTAACTTGCAAAAATGTTATAATTTAAATGAAAAGTAAACAGCATGGATACATCGAATTTATGTAGAAGTTGTATGAAAGAAGTGACGTCGTGGGAGAAAGAGAATTTTGATCCGAGAGTGGTGGATATGTTTTGTTTTTGCACTAATATCGCGGTAAGTAATCGCGAAACGCAAATTGTAATAATTTAGTTTTGTAAACGAATTCATGCTATCTAAAATTAAAAATTGATATACCTATCGAAGAACAAATTAATAGATATAATTTCATACCTACATGAAGGCACTTATCGTGTCTACTACTTATTGAGACAAATATTAAACTCATTGAGTGAATTTTATTTGTTTTTAAGTGGAAAAATATTATTTTAATTCATTGTATGTAACATACCTACCATAGAAAATAAAAGTTAAGCATAAATCGGCTAATATTATTCTTCATAAAGTCTGCCATAAGAATACTCGCTGTCACTGACCAATTATAATCGTTGAAATGAAATGGTTTATTTGTAAACATAGTTTTCGTTAAATATTATTTTCTTCAATCACCTAAACATTCAATCTTACAGATATCAGAAGAAGATAAACTGCCAAAACAGTTCTGTTATGATTGTGCAATCAAAATTGAGTCTGCATTCACCTACATTACGGAAGCTCATAAAGTAGACGCTACCCTGAAGAATATAATTTCAAGAACAAACACTTCCATCATTGTAGAACCAGAAACACAATCCAGGCATATAGATAGTCTCAAACTGACGCTTCCAGATTATAAAATTAGTACAACCATAGACAGTTATGATGAACACATACTTTTTGATAACATAGAATTGGCGGCCAGTGATAGTCAAATCATTCCAGAGAAAACTTTAGAAGAAATAGAATCAATTCAAAATATCCCTGAGGAAGTAGAAAATGCAGAAAAAAATAATCCAGAAAGTGTGAAAGAGAAGGTGAATGCAAATGAAACTAAGAAGAATATTTGTCCCATTTGTAGGAAAGGTTTCACTTCAAAAACTTGGTTCAACAAGCATATGAAGAAGGAGCACACTGAGAATAAATTTGTTTGCCCACAATGCCCTAAAAGTAAGAGAACTCAACTAAGAAAATTACCATAAATATTGTTTACCCAATTACTTTTTTAATAGACCATGTTGACCATTACCTACTTCGTTTCTAGGCACCTAGATTGTAAAACAGTATTCAGTCAAAATCTTGCTCAACTTTATAAGATTTTAATTACATAATTTTGTCGATTCCAGCATTCTCCAAAGCCTCTCTTTTATCTGATCATACTGCATCACACTCCGACGAGCGCAAGTTCGCTTGTACTACGTGCGGTAAACGCTTCAAGAGACGCAAGCAGCTCGCGTGTCATGCACGTGCGCACGCTGATATCAGGCCATATGCCTGTGACAAGTGCAGTATGAGGTAAGCTACCTACTGTTTTCTTTTTTGTAACTTTAGCGGTAACATTTCTGAGATCAGACCCGACTGTCTGAGTGATTCACGCTGCGTCTATTCCGCACAGGAGCCATGCGTGATACTCCAAATTGTAGTTTTGTATAAAAATGAAAACAGGGCCTAAGTAGATAGGTACTAAAGTGTATTTGAACTGGCTAAAATAATTTGTTTCTTATACAAATAAAATGCTACTTCTGTACTGACTTCGTTAAAATATATCAGAAATCTCTGTTTAAAAAGTGTCTAGAGATAATATCGCGCGACATCTGTGTACAAACAGAATGTCCTTACTCTTGAGTCTTGATAGTTCACTTCAGTGGCGCTAGTGTTGACCTAGCTCTTATCTCTCGATGCAAGCCTCTCGGCAATTGGGCAACAAAGGTCACGCGACCTTGAACTCAAGGTACAAAAAACCTGTAAAATGACCTTGGAACACGACTAGAAACTGCATTTTATATCTTAAGGAAGTAATTTTGCTTGCATATTGTAATGATTTTATCTTTATTTCTAATTAAAGACATTCGTTTTTACTTGTAGGCTAAGTACTTACTTTGGTAGTCTACGTTTGCTTTTGTTGTGCTTTAAAACGGTGTTATTTAACGGTGACTTATTTCTTTACAATGTTACTTACAAAAATGATATTGAAAACTAAAAACTACATATTTCGACAAGGAACCACGCGATCGTAAAATTTATTTTTACGATAAGATTGACCTTGATACATCCGAGCTAGAAAGGGCCTTGACCTTGGAATAACTAGTTAAATTGACCTTGACCCAGTTACCCACATTTTGGGGCAACCTTGACCGACATGACATAACGAGGCCGCCATTATATCACCGAAACCATGGCCACGAGCGTTTAGGAACGAAATATTTGGTGTTTTAAACATTACTCATGTAGGATGAGGCCACTAGTCATAGATATTAGGCGCTTTATGGCTTCCTTTAAACAAATACTTATACTCAGGTATTTTAATTAATGTTGCCTATAAACATACCACGTGCGTCAATCATTTAAATTTAAACCTAATACTAATTGACGGAAAGGTCACGTCGCTCGCGTTCTTGACCTGCTCAATAGATAGCGTATTGTTAAAGCCTCATTCCTATTCCAGGTTCAAGATAAAGAGTATATTGAAGTCTCATATGAAGGTACACGACGGGGATAAGCAGTACTTGTGCTACTTCTGTGGGTGGAGCTTTGCACAAGGTGAGAACCACTCATTTTATTATTCCAATATGTTTGGAAAAACCTCAAGATTAATAATAATGAATCAATGTATTTTTTTCAACCTTAAGCTATTTTGGGAAGGATATAAAAAAGTACAAGGTCGATACAGGAGTAGTATTTACATTATTCAGCAACATGAATCAGAAATGTTTTACGTGATTTATAAAACATGTAACGTGTATCATAATTAAATAAAATTTTAACTCTGGGATTCATACTCTTGGTACAAACGGGGTCCATACTATCTCTGAACTTCATAAAAATCTGTTTAGTAACTTAGGTGAAAGCGTAACAGATATTCGGAAACTTTCAGATTTATAATACTTATTAGTTCATATCGATACTAGAGAGATTTAACATTTTTCATTTTTTTTTTTTTAATTCATTCAACTTGCTTTTCCCTTATCTTGCAGCTGGTAACCTAGAAGTACACATGCGCAAGCACACAGGCGAGAAACCGTTCTGCTGCAACGAGTGCGGGTTCCGTGCCGCCGTGTCCTCCAACCTGCGCCGTCACCAGCGCCAGCATCAGGCTGCCAAGACGTACGTCTGCAAGCATTGTAATAAGGGATTCTATGATGCTAGTGGGCTGGTGAGTAAGAGGAACTCTTCTGATGTATTCTCGACTGTATTCAAGTTTAAAATCGACTAAAGATTTGTTAGTTTATAATAGGTTGATGTTTTTAAAGTATATGCTAGATACATACGTACCTTTTATCACTGTAAAATGTTGTTCTTCTTCGCTTTCAGAAATTAATTACGAAGAGCCGTAAAACTTATCTACATACACTTATTGACATACGTTTTACAAAAAATCATGATGATGCTATACTCCCAACAAAATCATCGTCTATATTAAAATTGTTTACTACTCTTATTTCATAAATATTTTCAGGCTCGTCATTTACGCACACATACAGGAGAGCTTCCATATCAGTGTCCTGGGTGCGCACGCGCATTCGCTGACAGTTGGAAGCGCAAGACACATCTCATGCGCGCGCACAGACTCGCTCTGCCTGATATACCGCGGATGCGGCGAGATGGGCGCACTATCAATTGAAAACTTTCTAATTCGACATTTACAAAATATATTTTAATTAGTTTATCGTTTTTGGCGGGAAAAATGGCAATTTCATAGGTAAACGTTATTTTTAATGGATGTGCAAAACTATCTTGATGTAGGTGAGTAGGTCACTGTTATAAGATAGATATAAGGCCTAACAGTATTTCTTGTGATAATACAAACATTATTTATTTCCTACTTAGTCACAAATAAAATGTATTTAATTTACGTATTTATACATGACAACATACCAAAAACTAGTATATAAGAGAGAAAAATGTAAGTACAACCTAATAATAGAAATAAAAAGCAATAAATATTAAAACATAGTTTAATTATCATATTAAATTCTATACAAGCCAACAGTCAACAATCATATAGGATATACCTGAAATAAAAGCTACTGGAAGTACATACATGTCTACAACACAAGTAGATTAGGGGGAGAATTTTAATATCTAGATTTTTAAATTAAATACCTAGATTTGAAGCACCAAAACTACTCTAATATTATTGTTGGGAAGGCATACGTACGGAAGAAGTAAGCACACGAATTTATGGCACCGCATACCCTTACTGGATTCATTATAATTATTATACATAATTTTCCTTACTAAGGGGCTTATTTACCTTACTTGAGCTTAAAATAACACCACACCTATTTTCACACTGGGGAGAGTGTACTTGAATACTACATCCAACTTTTCAGAATCAAGTTATTAGCTTCATATAGTTAGGGAAGAGCTCAGTATGTTTAGTTACACAATCGTCACTCTCAAATGAGTAGGTACATCTATTTTTTATACTTATAGGATGGAATTTGGCCACCATCTCGCCTGATGGTAAGCGATGATGTGGCCAACGATGGAGCACGCCTACCTATGGGCAACCTAGTTATAGTCCGTATTTTATCAAGATCGCACGGCCACTCAAGCAACTGTGGTGTCAATGGAGACACCAAAACATATATAAGATTTGAATCTAAAATCCCCAAATTGATGCCCAATTTAACCAAATTAAATCCCTTCATACAACTGCATATCTTTTGTTGGTTGTTATGGACCTAATAGACCACTATTATAACGTGGGTAAGTACAATGCAAAGGTTTAATTTTTGCCTATTGAGGTTTGCGAATAAATATCAAGATTTACAAGTGGTAAGAAGACAACAATCTACTTAAAATTGTGTGAATAGATTACAATAGTATGTATGAAGTTTCCTATTTATATTGTTACAACAGTTCGGATATATTATTGGTTCTTTGTTTCAAAACATTTCTAGCAATATTCTAGTCGTATTGTATATTTTATAATATTCTTGTCAGTCCCTACACGGTCAAACTGATGGTTTTACCATATTTACCTTTATTTTTAATAGACCTCGTCTTGCGCATTAACTTAACTCCACTGTGTATCATTCTAACGTACGTACTTGCGTCACAACGTCATCTCAATCAACGGATCAACCGTAAATCTATCGTATTTGTCTTTTTAGTATCTGCAAGATGTCATACAAATGGTGGGTCTAGGCTCACTCTTGTTAATGACAAAGTTGATGTTAATTAAAGCCATTAATCTCTTTTTCATTTGAATTTCGCTCGATTTGTTCCATGATTCTGATCATAATATTCCTGTATGTAGTGTATACTACCGGGTTTCAAACAGTGATCTGTACATTCTGCACGATGTTTGACCACTCCACTTTGGAAGGCACGAGGTAGAACGCCGGCGCCACCTTCTGGCCACACGGACACTTGCAACCTATACATATAATCATGAATAATATAGGCACATAAAGTACAAAACACAGACCATCTGAAAGAGTTTTAAGTCCTCGGTAGGCAACATTTAGGACTCCGTATTCAAACTTCAACACTAGTGGCAGACAGAAAAGATCGACAATGCTTCCTTATTTCAGATACCAGGACTCACTTTGGGTCACTACATGAATGAAAATGAATACATACCCATAATCCAGCTGAAGGAGCCAATCTTATTGAGACACTTGGGGCAGTGCAGCTTGCCCTGCGTGGCGTGAGTGACGTCACGCATCCAGGCCATGGGCTCCACGAACCACATGAGGCGACAGATCTCGGGCAGGTCGGCGCGCGCCGCTATGTTCGAGTCCACCATGTTCATCTCGTTGTACCCGTCTAACGCTTGCCGAGGGTCGTGATCCTAACGAAACAGTAGGTTAATATTTTTTTTACATTTCAGTATGCAATTAACCTGTTGAAATATCATCCCCTAAATTTGTTCATACGAAAGTAGTCTCTAAACATCGGAAATAAGGTCTATAATGTAGTTAGTGGAGAGTGGTCACTTGTGACTGCTTGGGGATAAATGGGTTTGTAAGATTTGGAATAACTTAGTATGCCATGCAAGTTTTCCTTCAGTGAAATTACCCCACAGAACATTTCTTAGAATTATTCAAGTGTTTGGATTTTAATGAAATTATTTATTACAGCAAAAGTTTAATGATTTATTTCTGACAAATATTTTGCCAAATAGCTTATCTTTTAATTATGTTTAGCGCCAGTATGCATTTCTTTATGAAATGAATTCAGTTATGATAACTTATCTTACACATACCTGACTGGTTCCCTCCTCACTATCACTGGGCTGACTCTGACTCTGGCTCTGACTCTGCCCTGGACTGCTGTCCTCGTATTGTTCATCACGCCGCATATCCATGATCTGTGACGCCAGGGTCTTCAGCTTCTCTAGCAGAATCTCTCCGTTCTCCGCACACGTCAGGCCTGTTAACTTGCTTGGTGGGGGACGAATACCTTTATAGTACAAAAAGAAATCCAATAATGTTACCCAAAAACGCCTGTCATAAATATATTAGCAAAATCACACTTTAGCAGCACAAAATAGACATTTTTTAGGCAGCTTTTCAGGCTAATTACATACCAAATAGTAAATTTACACAGCATTTATATACTTTACATTCTTATTATAGCAACTCAAACAGTTGTTACTTATTGCTCAAAAAATTGTAGTAGGCACTGTGTATTAACTTTATAGTAACACTAGCTTCTGCCGACGGCTTCGCCCGCTTTCAAGTAGAATGAAAAGTGGCCTACATATATGTTATTTCAGACCATAACCTACCCTTGTTCTAAGTTTCATCTTGATCCCTTTAGGCGATTTGACGTGACGGAATAACAAAGAAATGTACACACTTCAACATAATATATACATAATATAAGTAGGATACCATTTCCTTACCTTTCTTAGCCAATTCCACCTTAACAGGTTTAGGTATATGAGGTATGATATTGCTCTGGTTGGCTACAATACGCCTGCACTTCTTGCAGCGGTACACGATGGGGTCTGGTCGCTCCCTCACTAATCCTGGGTCCGGCTTCACTAGGTCCGCAAACAACTGGGGCAAGATCTTCACTGAAAATTTTACTGTAGATGAATTTGTGAAGAAGTTTGAAGAATTGTAATCATTTATTAACTTACTTTTATTTGAACAGTACCCGAACTACAGTTTTAAAACCAACTTATTAATTTATAAAGTTAATTACATATGTACTATTAAATATTCAAAGTATATTATTGCTTCTTCGATTACTACAATGATTAGTACTATATCTTTTAGAAAGTCAAACAACACACCTACATTATATATATTCTTTAGTGTTATACTGTAAATGGCGCATATTTAGCACAGATATCGATATCTAGCGAATGTGATTCCAAATTTTAAACAAAACTATAGTACTCTATAGGAATATATTATCACATATCCAAATAATACTTTGGTAACAGAGAAGTAGATTTCAAAATTCCTTGGCATGTTTATAAGAAAAAGTAAGTACAACAGTTGTAGATTGTTCTGAAAGTTACCATCAGTTTCCTCTGAAGACCGACTTGGAGGTGGCTTCGGAAGACTTGGAAAGCCTCCTTCATGTAAAAGTAAAACGTTTATATAAACCTATGTTTGTAGTTTTACCTAAATTATATCCTATGATTGGTTTGTCGATATTATAATACATTTACTAAAACTAGTGCTTCATACTACATTTCGTGCCTCACAGAACGGAGTGGTTATCCTTTTCAGTCAGTAAGAGTGACATCCTCTCCCCTCACCCGGGCGGTCATTGGATAATTTTCTCCCCTCAAAACGCCAAGGATAGTTTGTACATGGATCATCATTGCTGTTATACCTCAATGTTTTAATGCCACACATGCCACACAATGTAGAAATAGAGATATCTCACCTTCCTTTAATTTCTGTCCAGCTAACTTCAACCGAAACTGTTTAAAGCGTGGATCATCTCTGTTGATTGTATAACCCATATGTCCAAATAGTTTCAGTTGGGCTACAAACCCTACGTTCGGGCCCACAAAGCGTCTTTTACTCTTCACTAAGGAAAATGCATCTTCATAACATAATCCATACTTTTCCATGATGTAGCCTATCACTACGGCAGCTGATCGTGACACTCCAAAATGACTGAAAATACAATAAACAATATCCCGTTGAAATCCACCCCCTAAATTTGGTCATACAAAAGTAGTCTCTAAACATTACAAATAAGGTCTATAATGTAATGTAATATTAGTGGAAAGCGGTCACCGGTGACCGCTTGGTGATTTATGGGATATTGTGAAAATGAAGTTTTATAATTCTGCCATAAAAAGAAGATATTATTATTTAACCCGTCATGTGCCGGAATGCAAATCCACATGAAACACAATATATTTTCTATTGTGTCTTATGTACCGGCAGTCAAGAAGTATCTTGGGCATTCATCTCTACTAGAATACAATTTTAAGAATAGACATTTAATTTCTATTCCCTGTTTCATGTTCGAAACAACTCAATTTTGTAAATCTCACTGGCTTCTTTAAAACAATTAATAGTCATAGAAACTTTTGAACAATACCAACCAGTGTACAAGAACTGTTCCTCCATCTGCAATGGCTTGTTTGATGAAGTTGTTTGTCTCAGGCAGATGACTTATTAGATCCTCCTTTGGTACATCAGCCACTGAAACCAATGAAGGGTTCATACATTTAGAGATTTCAATTCAATAGCCAAAATAACTAATTAGTAAGGAAGTTAATCAACATCATGGTATTCCAGGTGCCAATTGCTTACCATCAGGTAATCAGTCTGCTTGTTTACCGGCTTATCCCATAATCGTAATAATTCGTAATACTGCATCCATCATATTTTCTTTGCATATTTCACTAGTTATAAATGTAAGAGAGCCTTATGTCAATTTCATGTACAGACATCATTCCAGACTCTATGCTACTGCTGAGAATTACGGTGTATTCTCAGAGCAAATAAACTAAACTTGCTAAAGAGTACCTTTGCCGGTAGTCACACTTTCAAACACTTGACAAACAACAATAATTATGTTACTAAACATACTAATATTATAAATGCCAAAGATTGTGAGGATGAATGTGTGTGTGTGTGTGTTTGATACTCTTTGACGTCAAAACGGCTGAAGGGATCGAGATGAAATTTGAAATAGGAGAAGATTATGGTCTGGAATAAAACATAGGCTACTTTTTATCCTACAGAAAGGCACGCAAAGCTACTGACAGAAGCTAGTAAAATATAACTTACTTTTAATATAATGGAATACAAGGTTGGCTCGCCCAAGTATAGACCGAGGAAGTGGCACCACATCTATTGTGAGGATGTGTGTGACCTGTAGCTGCTCCAGATATTTGTAGTCTCTTGCACAGGCCAAGTTACCTGCAATGTATAGAACACACAAACTTGGTCAAATAACTGTTAAAATCTTTACAAAAGTAAAACAAATGTTAAGATTGAATCCCAGTCCTTTTAAAATTTTATGCTTTTAAATATACACAGGTATTTTTGAGTTCATTTGGGAATTGCTATTTCACAGCATAAGACACATAGTGTTTGGAAAAATAAGTAAACATGTAAATATTAGTACTGTAGGGTCTGTAGGCTTGTATTGTTTTGTTTGTGCAGTATGCTCTGGTTATTAAAAAATTAAAGGTTATTATAATAAACGATGTACAGCCAACCTAAGTATAATCGTTCGTCGATGAGATCAACACTGATGCCGAAGCAATCATCGGGGCTAAAGTCGTCATCTTCAGCATGGACCTCTACAGCAGCCACTTTATGTCTAGCCATTTATTAGCGTGCTGAAAATCATGAAATCATTGAGTTAACATTATCTTAATAATTCATAACGTCAATCTAACAATTGTATCTCTACTGTAGAGTAATTTAAGTGCAAAATAACTCTAATTATGGGTCAAAAACACTGAATAGACACACACCTCAAGAAAATCAATACTTGAAAAATCAATACACGTATTCGCGCAAGGCACTGTAACGTCCTCGATTTTGACACTAATATAAAGATAAAGCAACAGAAACTATTTAATTACACTTTTATATAACGCAATTTATGTAAGTAAACGTAAAGAAATGAGACTATTACACGAGGGGCAATATGAGAAATCGCCCGCGAATTTCTTATTTTGACATTTCGTTTGACATTTGTGTATTTTCATCTCTGCGTTCCGTTTAGTTTTTCAGTAAAGCACAATTGTTTACAAAACTTTTATACCGACCTCATTTGATTTTTAATCCAGTTCAAAAAACGAGGTTCTCAGTTTTACCTGTATGTATATAAGTTTGTGCGCAATTATCTCTCGGTTGACTGAACTGATGTTCTTGCGATTTGTGTTTGTTACACTTATGAGGTTTAGAACTTAGATTGGTTATTATGAAATTTATTTAGCCTGCTTAATTTTTACAATATTTTGCATAAATAATTAATGTAATTATTATGTATCAATTAAATATATACAATACAAGATAAAAATTAATATATACAATTTAAATTATATATAAAAAAACTTAGATTGATTAACCGACTTCAAAAAAGTGAAGATTGAAGTAGGATTTTTAAACGTAGTTTATAAAATATTATTATATTGTCAAATTCAGTTACTTGTTTATCGATTTGCATGTTTTAGTCATATAATATCCATACAGAAAAAGTAATTTCGAAATCTAGGTTAATAACAGCGTAAAAGCGATATACGCATCTAAAGGCTTCCCTTTGCCAAATAACGGTAAACAATCATAGAGAACATTTCTAGACACATTGGACATCGGACTTTGGACATTACATAACAGTTAAGACCCGGGTCCAAAAGTACACTAGGTCATATTACTAAACTACAATGCTTCCAAAGAACTCATTAGAAAGGTTAGTGATGTCAGAAAGGACGGTCTTTGGACTCTCCTTGAAAGAAATATGTTGTATAAACCTTTACGTAGATACTTAATGACTTCTCGCGCCTTGGATGCGGCGAAAGGGAGTGTCAGGTCAGACTCTTACTGACTAAAATACACCCCGTTCCTACTTCTGCTGTTCTGCCGGACCCCGGCAACCTGTTAAGTCCTCCGCTGCTCCGTATCGGCATTATAGCCCTGCTGAGCCCCCCATCTGTAGTGGTCTGATGGCTCTTTGGTTCTAAGTGCCACAAAGTGCTGCTGCTGCAATCATAAACAGACTTCTTATATCTGTAAACAGTCAACAGCTGCTAATCATTTCACTTCACTATATCGGTCATCTATCCCATAATATAAACTAGAGTAGTTACCTACCTAGTCCAGGGTAACGGACTATCGCAACGGGTCAGACTATTAGGTACCTAGGTACTGAATTTCTTTTCTCTTTTAATATAAAAAGCCTACAGATCAAACTGTTTCTGTACCTTCAAACTGGGCCAGCGCCAGGAAAGCTAGGTAAAATCATTAATCTATTAGCGAACACTAGCGGCAATACTCATTAGTTAACTTAAAGACATGTCAAAACATGGATAGGAGCTAAACGTAACGCATTTCAAAATAGGACATACAATATACATATGTATCGAGGTGTCAAAACATAACCAAATTCTGCATTTCCACTTTCATATGCAAACAGCCTTGGACTGTGAGCCTGCGAGCCATGTTACAAGCCACCATATTATAATGTAATCATTTCTTGCAAAAGCAATCGTACGAGGAAAAATAATTAATAAACAGACACCTAATTATAATATGTGCGCAGATGGATGATTCAGTTTCGTCATTAGGGGAACCAATTACCAATCTTTAAGCTGCAGAAGCTTATTATCATACTAACGATTTAATTTTTTCCCAAGCAAATAAACCTATATAAACTTGATAAAATTGTTTTTAAATAGACTCGGGTGAGTGTCACTGTTTTAGAAAGAGCTACTTATCCACAGACGCCACTATACCAACATTTATGGACAATGCGAATTTCAAAACCGACACTTAAACAAAAGGATTGGTGTCTAACACAACTAAGTACAATTCAATTCAATTTTGTACCTAGTTGTCATTTGTAAACAAATAATTAACAACTGGTAAGGACAGATGCCTATTTATATAATTATTATTTTGTAAGTGAGTAATAAAAACGAGTAATTTTGCGTCTGTTGAGAAATGTGTCGTAAAACCATTGCTGGTCTTGGCACATATACCTACACAAACCACAGTAATTCGAATCAATTTGACACGACTGAATACTGTTATTACCTAATCCATGGTTTCATAAAACAGAGGAAAGTAGAAAGAACAGTGTCCTGATAGGACAGGACAGGACCTATCATATCAGGACACTGTACTGCCTACTGTACTAATACCTGGTGTTTCTGTTTATAGGTTACTAGCTTTTACCCGCGGCTTCGCTCGCGTCACAAAAGGATAAAAAGCCAATGTGACATATACCAATACACACAGCGCCACCTATACCAATACTTTTGTTTTCCCTCGGGCATATCAATTTTTTCCGGGATAAAAAGTACCCTATTATTTAATCCGGACTTCTAACTATACATCTGCAAAAATTCAAAGCAATCGGTTCAGTAGTTATGGCGTGAAAGCGGAACAGACAAACAAACTCACTTTCCGATTTATAATATTATATATATAGTAAGCACTAGTAAGGATTTAATTGAAAACAACCAAAACTTATAAGAGTATGACATGAACTTTAGAGGGGATTAACTGTATCCAGTTACCTACTTTTCAAGAAATTATTGTTTATTCCGCTTGTTACAACCGTTGGTTCTTCTGAATTGTAATGAAGGAAATGCATAAATGAACAGTATCACTCAATTAAATGTTCGATCATCGTCAACCAAAACACTTCAACGACCAAGACAGCCTTGTTGAATGCTCTTATTGGCAGTATGTTTCACAATATGAAAATATTTTTATAATACTATACCTACACTTTACATTATTATGTATAGCAGGTACCTACTACTGGTAAAGAGAAGCGATACAATGAAAATAATAAGTCACACACATATTGTTAACACCATTGTCTCAGAGATGGTCAATAGTATTTGTTATGTTTAATTTGTTTACAAAGAAAACCACAGTTGTTGTTAACAATGATATTTCACATTAAATTCCGGAGATACTTTAAAGTCAATAATTATTATGTGTAGTACTACAAACTACAAATAAGTTTATTCAAAAGAATAATAAATATACACCCTTTTTCCCATTTTAATATACACATTAGACTAGAACATTCATTAAACCTAAGAATCTCCTTTGCGAATAAGTTTCTTAACGTCTACAATAACTACTTTGTAGAGAACTTTAACGTCATCGTCGTACCTCGTAAGGATCATTAATGACTTCGTATGCAATAAAGAAAATAATGATTATATTGACCCAGTTCCACGAAAAACTGATTGCAAATGAAAGTCATAATACATCAGTGACGAATATACACCGCATTTAATATTTAAGTATCTACTTGGAATCCGCAATTCTTAATGCAACAGTTAACAAACACTGCATTGCATAACAGTAAATAAGTGACCGGTAAATAATATTATGTTAAATTCTCAAGGCTTCCCTGTAGTCCGCAGAGTCCGCCAAGCCCAGCAGACGCAAGCCAGCAAACTAGCCAGAAGTGAATTAAGGGAGATGCCAATGACTAGCAGTGGACTTCTTCTGGCTGATGATGATAATAATGTCATCTCCAATCTGCAACAGTTGCATATAGTAATTTCGGAGAACGCCTGATGGGTGATACTACTGCACAGGACAGGACCAGTGGTTCTTGTTACACTCTTGACTAGGCTTCATAGCCATTTCGCACCGTGAACAGTCCTCCATATCAAGTGATAAACAATTGGCAAGTTAACTACTGCCAGACCAATATAGGTAGGTAATCTAAAAAAATATGGCTCGAGGAGTAATAGGCGTCTTATGAATAGGACACTAGTGTATAGTCAAATCCAGAGCTTTGTGTGTAAAATATGCCTGTCCATCCAAAGATCCCAAACCCAAGATTTTGTATGTCATGGTTGCTACAATTTCATCAATCAAGGTCGTTCAAAAGGTTAAAATCGTGTACAACAATGCCCAATTACGGGGTACAATTAATAAGGCTGTTTTCAGACAACGGGCCATTGCGACGGTGTTTCTTCACCGGTTATTGGGAGCGAATTACGTCACGTGGCTACGTAGTGTGCGCCCGCGCATGGCTCTTTCACTATAACGTAATACAAGGAAAATGTTCTGTGCTATATCGTACGGGGTAGCCTACATTTCATGGATTAAATTATCGAGCATTAAGTGCTATTGACTAACTTTAATGAAAGGTAAAAAGTGTACTTCAATGAACACTAACAAGTAACTTGTCATAAGTCATAAGTAAAGGAAGTGTGCAATGCCTTTCACGACTTTCATAGGATAATCACATCAGCAACATTAATGAATATCTCATTACAGTTTGATTAGTATTATCTCAATAAAATTAATAAGCAATGAAGGTGACATGAGTGAAGTTAATCCAGCGATAGTGTTAGGTAACGCGGCGTGCGCCGGCGCCAGTCGCCCGCGTCGGACGCTGAGAAGCTAGCGTTGCAGTTGGTTAGTGCTACTTCCTATGCTATTTGTCTGCTGTAATTACCGCGTGGTGCCTAGTGTTGTGTGATTATGTGGGATCTACTATTGGTTCACGATTTTTAGTAGACAGTCGTTTAAGCACCAAAAATGTCAATAGCTTTTACAACAAAATTTTGCAGTTTTGTAATAGCAGTCAATTACCTGTAACCATCTCCACGTTTTAATTTATTTATAATGATTTTATACGTAAATTCATTCGGCAGTTGAGGCAAAAATGCTTACGAACTTGAGTTGTTAAATCTTTAAAGTTATATACCTAGCAGTTCGCGTTTCGTCGGTTTCAAGACACGACTCACAGATATCTCACTCGCATGTATACAATAGTAGCGGTCTCTACAAAGACACGGTGCTAATTACACCCCAACTACACTCACCGGCACGGAAACTTGGCCACCAACTAAATCGCCGATAATTTCTATTTAAATATTAAATTTTCACTATATTATGGGTTTATGCACTAAATTAGAGTTTTTTCATGGTTTAGTAACTCAGTTATTGAAAAATTGATGCACC